CTTGCCAGGCTGGAAAGCCAGCAGGCACGGGCAGGTCTGCGCAGCAGGGCAGGGTCACTGGGGCTGCTGCGCCCGGAGCCGCCGCCGCGAGAACCGGGAGCTCCGCAGTAAAATCCTGCCTCTTGAGAGAGCTGGACCCTCCTCACCTGTCAATCAAGGAGTCTCTCATGTTGGTGGCAATGGTGCTCGGCTGAGCCTCGTTCAGCTTGAAGATGCTCTCGATGACAGAGAGCTCAGTGCTGGTGGTGTCCAGCCCGCAGAAGGCGCACCAGTCGTTCACCACCATCCCCGCCGCGATCACCTCGCTGCCGCGGTTCACCGTCCCCGCCTGCGGACACAGCTGGAGTTACCAGGGCAGCAGCACCACGGGTCACACCCCTGCACCACAAGCCCTGAGTGGAGGGACTCAACTCACACTCCTGAAAAGGTCAAGGTTTCTGCCTTCAACAAAGTTAGAGAAATTTCCCATAAGAGGTAAACGGAGAGGCTGAAACCTCTGGAGAGAAAGTGGTGCGAGACTCAGTGAGGGAACAAGGACATGGAGCTCCTGGACAGCCCAGAGGAGCCACAGAGATGATCCAAGGGCTGGAGCAGCTCTGCTCTGGAGCCAGGCTGGGAGAGCTGGGGTGTTCAGCCTGGAGAAGGGAAGGCTCCAGGGAGACCTGAGAGCAGCTTCCAGTGCCTGAAGGGGCTCCAGGAAAGCTGGGGAGGGACTTGGGACAAGGGCAGGGAGGGAGAGGACAAGGGGGGATGGATTAAAACGGGAAGAGGGAGATTGAGGTGAGACATGAGGAGGGAATTGTGGAGTGTGAGGGTGGTGAGAGCCTGGCCCAGGTTGCCCAGGGAAGCTGTGGCTGCCCCATCCCTGGCAGTGTTGAAGGGCAGGTTGGATGGGGCTTGGAGCAGCCTGGGCTGGTGGGAGGTGTCCCTGCCCATGCAGAGGGTTGGGACTGGATTATCTTTAAGGTCCCTCCCAACTCAAACCAGTCTGGGATTCTGTGATAAAGGGAAATTCACAAACCAAACTGAGCAGAGGCAGGATTTATTACTTAATTTTTAAAAAATCCTGCCAAACCACAATCACATTCTCTATGAATTTATCAGCACAGCTTCCATAATCCCAGCAGAGCAAACATTGCTGCTCAGCAGCTTGTTCAGGCTCCGAAAAGACTGAGAAAATGTCTCAACTTGTCCTGTTTGAGTCTCATGCTCAAGTGAAACAAAGAAAAACTTCTGTACTGTGAGGGTGACAGAGCCCTGGGACAGGCTGCCCAGGGAGGCTGTGGGGTCTCCTTCTCTGGAGACATTCCAAACCCATCTGGCTGTGTTCCTGTGGGATCTGCTCAAAGTGACCCTGCTCTGGCAGGGGTGGTTGGACTAGATGAGGTCCCTTCCAACCCTGACCACTCTGTGACTTTATGTCCCACCTGGACCAGCTCTGCAGAGAAAGGATCTAGAAACCCAGGAGATGCAAAAACATTAAAACTGAGAAGAGGTTGGAAGGCAAGACAGAACAGAGCCCAGAAATGCCTTACCACGAGTGGGACCTGGAGCAGAGAAGACAGCTCATCCTGGTCATCAATTGATGTCTTGGGATGCACAATTCCTCCTTGGTTACTAAAAACACAGTAACTTCCTACCAGCACCTGATCTGCTACCGTTTGTCTGAAAACCTCAACCTTCAGGACATCTGCCAAGATCTCTTCTGTCTCCTGGAAACAGGAAGAGAGAACAAAGTCCTCAGCAAACAGGGATCACAGCAAGCGCAGTCCAGCTGTTCCTGCAGGGACACTCCCCTTGCACCCCCACCCTGGCAATCCAAACACTACCCAACCCTTCCCCAGCCCCTCCCAGTGCACCCTGAGCTGGGCCACCAGAGCTGAGCCCAGCAGCACAGCCCTGCTGGGGAACACCCTGCTCTTTGCTCCCTCTGCTCCCTGTTCCCAGGGTGCTGGCAGCACCTGCTCTCCGGGTGTTCCCTGTGCACCAGCCCTCTCCTGTCTCACTACTGACAGACCTGTGTGACCCTTCTCTGTAACTCCAGGAACTCCCTTCCCCTCCAGGTTTTCATTCTGAATCATTTTGATTTCTCCCTCTGGCCACCTCACCTTACCCTTCCCCTTATCTAAATTTGCTGCCAAGATCATTACCTTCCCCCTGCCCCTCTTATTTCCCTCTGCACTCCTAAGACCAAGTCCCCTTTCCTCACCCCCTGGAGCACAAAGTGAAAGCAAACACTGCACAGACCTTTCCTGCCTGTAGCCACAGGACACACCTCTCCCTCATCAGTCCCCAAACACAGAGCAGCAACAGCTTTGTCTCCTTTGCCCTTATTTCCATGTTCATACAAGAGCTTCCATTTTTCTTCCCCCCTCCTCAGTAAACACACTCACCCCCACAACCACAGCCTCTCGGCCACCACACACTGCAGCACAGCTTGTGACTACAGCTGTGCTCACTGAATGTTCTGGTTGGAAAAGACCTATAAGATTATTGTGTCCAACCATTAATCCAACTCTACCAAGTCTGCTGCTGAGCCACGTCCCTCAGCACCACATCTACAAGGCTCTGAAACCCCTCCAGGGATGGGGATTCAGCCACCTTCCTAGTCAGGCTGTGCCAGGGCCTGACAACCCTTCCAGTGAAGAAACTTCTAACATCCAAGCTAAACCTCCCCTGGCACAACTTGAGGCAACATCCCCTCATCCCATCACTTGTTCCTGGAGAGAACAGACCAACCCTCCCTCACTTCAACCTCCTCACTCCATCCAATCTAAATCTCCCCTGGCACAACTTGAGGCCAGTTCCTCTGGTCCTTTCACTTGTTCCTTAGGAGCAGGGACTGATCCACCCTCACTCCAACCACCCCTCAGAAGGTCTCCCCCTCAGTCTCCTTTTCTCCAGGCTCAGAAAGGCCTCCTGAGGCTGCAGAGCCTGCCAGGCCAGCAGCACCTTGGACATTCCCAGCAGCAGGATTCCAGCTGCCAACAGAGCCTCCAGTGTGACTGAGAAAGGCCTCCTGAGGCTGCTGAGCTGCATGAGGCACCATGGACATCCCCAGCAGCAGGATTCCAGCTGCCCCTTACACCCCCTCCCTCCTACCCACTCAACACTTCCTCCCCACACACCATCCCTCCCGCAAAGGGGAACCCCTGCAGCACACCAGGGGTTCCCAGCAGCCTGGGAGGGCAGGTTCCCCAGCCCCAGGGGATGACAAATACCCTGTCGAGGTCTGGATGGACCAGGGCCACGTAGTCGTTGCAGGTGGTGACGTTGCCCAGGGCCGAGAGCCGCTCCTCCACCCGCTGGATGCGCACGGAGTCGGGGAGGCTGTTCCTGATGTGCTGCAGCTCCTGGTCCGTGGTGCTGCTGGGCACCAGCAGCCCGTGCCTGTTCCCTGGAACCCCCCCCCCAAGAAAAACCCCAAAATACCATTTCCACAAGGTTTCCTGCTCTCCTGGTGCTCACGGAACAGCAGGAACTGCCCCCCCCCCCATCCACTGCTCCTCCCAGGGGGAATAATGTCCCTAAAAACAGGGCAGCACCACAGGGATGGGGAAAACCAGGAAGGGGCACAGAGCAGGGAGCAGAGGGGGCTGGGTGGCCCTGCCTCCAGCCACTTTTTCATCAGAACTAAACGAAGCTGGAGGTTCCCAGTGAAACCCCTGGGCCGGGAGTTTCCAGCAGCCCCAGGGGACGTGCAGGTGCTGCCTGATCCCACCGACTGCTCCGTGGGAAAGCAGGGGATGGACGGGCAATAACGTTCCTCTCACGGGTACCAGGAGAGGTTGGTCTGCCCGAGGGTCTCAGCAGCCCGGGACAGACGAAAGACTCTGACCTCCACAACCCCGAGC